AAATCTAAGTAACAGTGATTTGGTTAATAGTACCATGACTTTTGGGTACCAATAATATTTATTTGGTACTAGTAACACTAATAGGTACCAGTCTCATATCAGAGATTAATTTTGAATGCAAGTTTAAATGGTCTAGACTTTGGCTCAAAGAGTATAGGACAAATGGAATGCGAAGCTCGCAACTGAGTGAATCGTGCAACAGCAGCCTACGAAAGCACCTTAAATCAGAACACAACTTCTCCCAGTTTTTTTATCATTTCGACAGGCTGCTGGACAAGAAGAGGGAAACTGAACAGGAACGGGAACACCAACTTGTTAATGAGGCACCACCTGTTCATTACTCTCACAATGTTTTCGTCAGACAGGTGGAGAAGCTCTACACTTACAATGTTTTCAGACTGTTCCAGAATGAGGTAGGCAAGAGCTTTGGATATGATATGGATCCGAATGAAGAGTTGAATGAAGATTCTTGGCTTGCATACAACGTATACCGTTATGAAGGACCAAACTTCGATATAACATACGAGAGGATTGTCCATGTACAAATGGAAGAGCGGAAGTTCAGATGTAGTTGGCATCAGTTTGAAACTTGGGGTTGGTTATGCAAACATATTCTAAAAACAATGGACCATCTTGGCTCTAGTCGGCATAATCGGGAACTAAGGCGAATTCGTGACGAGTACATCTTGCCAAGATGGACCAGACATGCAAGGGAAGGAGTGCAGTTCAAAATACATGAGCCTGACCCACAAGTGCAAAATTCTTTGGGTGCAAGGGTTAAGAAGTTGACAGGGACTATAAATGTTTTGGCAACTCGGCTTGCTACAATTGATGAGGTATATGAGGTGTTGACTTCTACTTTGGAAAAACTCACAGTAGAAGCTGATGAAATCGTTAGACGTAAGTTGCACTACCTTTTCCCATGTTTGCAGTCACTGGTACATGTCGCACTGGTAGAAAGTACCAGTGAATTTACCGGTACCAAATTAGGAGTTTTTAGTTGTGTACTGATACTAGTATTAGGTATCTGCTGGGTAAGATTACTAACCCCATGATTAAACATTCCGTGTAGGAGCACCTAAATGGGCTGAAAACATGAACGGTGACCCTTTGTCAAATCCAGAACCCACTGATGAAGCAGATCTTATAGGGTCCAAAGTGAAGCAGCGACAGGACAAGCAAATGTATAAGAAGAGGCTAGTGTCGGTTCGAGAAATAGTAAATGAGCGGGTACGGAAATAATTGAATCACGAGCTCAACAGCAAGAGGAGGAAGAAGAAAACCTAGTTTTTTTTAGTTGTTACTTGCATGTTTCATTTCACTTGTTTTACAGAAGAGACGTATAATTTGCTTCTGACCAAAACATTTGATGTTTAAGGATGTTTTTTTTTTACATGTGTTCTGCACCATTAGAGAAACATGGCTTGGTAGTTGAGAAACATCCGACAGTGGTACTAGTACATCCGACAGTGTACGATTGATTTTGGACCAGTCTTATTTATGTTACCAGTAGCACCGATTTTGTATCAGTCTTAATAATGATACCATTGGCAATGTTTCCCTCTCTTTAAAGAATGATACCATTTTGTTACAAACATGGCTTGGTAGTTGAGAAACATCCGACAGTGGTACTAGTACATCCGACAGTGTACCATTGATTTTGTACCAGTCTTATTTATGCTACCAGTAGCACCGATTTTGTACCAGTCTTAATAATGATACCATTGGCAATGTTTCTGGTACCAGTATACCGGAACCTGGAAATTTGCATCCGACTACCGATACCGATGTACATCCGGCATACCGAGATACCGGATTGCCGGTTACCGGTTATCAATCCGGTTTACTAGATGCCGCCGCTCGCTGCCCGCCGGTGGTCTCCGAAGCTCAAGAGGCGAATCAATCTCGCCGGCAAGAGGAAGAGAGATCAGCCGAGAGAGGGAGACAGTTGCATGGCGCCGGATCTGGAGCTTTGCTGACCCAGGTCAAAGATGAAGAAGGGTCGTTGACCCAGATTCGATGACCAGGTCAGAGATTCGTCGGATCTGGAGATCTGGTTCAGTTCGTGGGAAGGACTATGATCGGAGATGTTTATCGATGCACTGGAATCTGCACGGCTTCAAGGAGAGAGGAATCATGGGTGGCTTGTGGATCTATGACTGTGGCTGCGGGATGATGATTTGCTGGCGGCGGGATGATGATTTACAAGAAGAAGATGGAGAAAAAATTGGGATTTTTAACTGCTGTATGCAATTGGGATTTGACTGATATGAAATTGAGATTTTTTACTGGAAATAGAAAGAAAACAAGGAGGGGAAGGAATCAAAGTGGTTTCCCGAGATGGGAGGCAGCAATGAGAGAGAGATCGGGACGGAAATAGAGAGGAGAGAGGGAGGTAGCGGTTAGTTAATCGGTATCCGGTTAATATACCGGTTAGTGAAACCGGTTATCGATAAACCGAAAAGGGTAACACACAACTCGACAACCGTCCGAAGCCTTTGTAAACGGTTAACGGTATAACCGGTAACCGACGGTTACCGGTTTGATAACCGGTTATACCGTTAACCGGAAACCGATTACCACCCCTACCAGTAACATTCAATTGGTACCAATAACATTGTTAACAAAATATTTGTAACAAAATATTTGTACCTGTCTTATTTATGCTACCAGTAGCACCGATTTTGTACCAGTCTTAATAATGATACCATTGGCAATGTTTCTGGTACCAGTAACATCCGAGAGTGTACCATTGATTTTGTATCAGTCTTATTTATGCTACCAGTAGCACCAATTTTGTACCAGTCTTAATAATGATATCATTGGCAATGTTTGTGGTACCAGTAATATTCAGTTGGTACCAATAACATTCAATTGGTACCAATAACATTTTTAACAAAATATTTGTTCCAGTCTTATTTATGCTACCAGTAGCACCGGTTTTGTACCAGTCTTAATAATGATACCATTAGCAATGTTTCTGGTACCAGTAACATTCAATTGGTACCAATAACATTGCTTTGGCACGAATACAGATAAAGGATCGGAGAAAGTGGATACAGAAGTATTTGGGAGAAGACGGTGAGAAAGAGTTTATGTGGGAGGAGACGGAGAAAAAAGGGTTTCTGTGGGCGAAACAAAAGGTTCAGCAGGGAGATGAAAGGTTCGGCGGGGAAGATGGTTGATTACTCTCCCCCACCGATTTCTTTGCTTTTTCAAAAAACCCGCTAACGTCAGCGAACTAGGGGAGCACAATCCAATGCGGTAGCTCTCCTTTTTGTCCCTGCCCAACTTCAATCATTAGATGGAGGAATAGGGGAATGGACGGCAACGAGGGGGGAAGCGAGATTGACAACCCCTAAGGGGGTTGTCACGCTAACCTGTCCCCTTCCTGGGAGCTGCTGCCTGGAATTCCTCACAATCCAACATTTTTCAACTCAATTTCTTGCCTTAGCTTGAGGACTAGAGCTTCTTCGTCTAAATTCTTGACTCCAAACACCCTTGTACACCTCTGTCTCCAAATCTTGATAATCATCAAGATCCTTAGATACAATAAATTTGTTTAATCGGTTATGATTTTTTTCTTTTGTCTTTATGAAGAGATACTAATTCAAATTTTTATACATATATATTTATATGAAATAAGTAAATAATTGTGAAGATAAAAATATTGTTCCGACTTTGTTGCGAAAAAATCAAAATGGAACAAGGGGCTTTTCATTCCACTATCGACTATCGTTTAGATTTTTATTATATTTTGATTTTGATTTTGATTTTGGGGTCGTTTGGTTTTGGTGATAGTTAAATTGATGCATTGTCGTCAATACACGCATAATCATATGTATGAATATAAGAAAATTGGTGTATTGTAGTTTACATTGTTTGGTTTCTGTCATAATTGTTGTAGTGTTTAAAAAAAGTATATTACCATTTGGGTGAAATGTCATTTTATCCTTTGTTTTTAGTATAAAAGAGCAACACACGTAAAAAGGTAGAAACATAGTTGGAAGAAGAAAAAAAACACATCAATCTCAATCAAACAATCTCAATCAAAACTTTAGATTTAACTATCACTCATTTTGAGTGATAGTTTGTGTCACATCAGACAAATAATACATGTATTATTTTGTCGGTGTCAATCAAACTATCTCAATCAATACTTTAGATTTAACTATCACTCATTTTGAGTGATAGTTTGTGTCACATCAGGCAAACAATAATGCATGTATTGTTTGTACATATATTAAAAAAATGATACATTTATGAACATTGCATGCATTGTAACTATTCCAATCAAACCAAACCAACCAAAGACGTGGGTCGTTTGCTTTTGGTGATAGTTAAATCGATGTATTGTCATCAATGCATGCATGATAATATATATGTATGTAAGAAAATTGGTGTGTTGTAGTTTACATCGTTTGGTTTCTGTGATAGTTATTATAGTATTCAATTAAATTATATCACTTTTTGGGTGAAATGTCATTTTTACCCTTTGTTTTTAATATAAAAAAGCAACACACATAAAACAGTAGAGACATATTTGGAAGAAGAAGAAAACACAACAATCTCCATCAAACAATCTCAACAATCTCAACGAAAACTTGAGATTTAACTATTACTAATTTTGAGTGATAGTTTGTGTCAAATCAAGCAAACAATGCATGTATTGTTTGCACAGAAAATTCAAAAAAACGATGCATTATGAACATTGCATGTATTGTAACTATCCCAACCAAACTATCACCAAAACCAAACGACCCAAAGACGTAGATGTAGAGATACCGAATATTTAACAAAAGTAATCATATATACAGGCTTTGGTTATCATTGATGACCGATAATTCTGGTATGGTTATCGGTTCAACCATTTACTGAAACTGACTTAACATCCTAGGCCGTAAGCCTTAAGGAGACCAAGAAACAAGCCCAATCGTCAACTAATGGCCGCATAAATATTGCAGAAGTATAAAGCTGGGCCAGGCTTTGCGTTACAACAGCTTCCAAGTCCTAATTCCCCACTTGGACTTGGACCAATATTTTGCGTTTGAGGAAGAGCCCTATATAATCTTAACCTTGAACGTTGGTTTGCCTCTAATGGAGAAATGAATTTCGGTGATTCAATGTGAATTTCTTGAACCTTCCGATACTCATTGTGATAAAGTTAGTACGATTTGAAATTTTGCTTAGGCCTAGTATCAAGCACAATCCTTCCCGTTATAGCAGATAGTAGGGGTGTAAGACTGGCCCTAAGTAACCACTAACTAGGCCCGATTATGAGCATCGGGTTAGGTCAGTTTGTTTACATAGTCAGTTTAGGATCGGGTCATATTTTGACTTGTAAGAGTCGGGTCGGGTCACTTTTTACCCTATGACCAATAGCAACAACTAGTGATTTGAAATTCCTCATATAATCATACCAAAAGATTGGACATGTCTGTAAAATTTTAAAAGTACAGGTACTATAATGTTGTTAAAAAATAAAAAGGTACTAAAATATAATTTTCCTCCAAAATTTATAAACCTATTTGTATAAAAATAAAATTTGGTTAATAAATTGTAAGAAAAACAAATAAAATTGGATACCACAGTATAATTTTTCATTCGAGCTGACCTGCTGACTTCGTCCCACTTACCAAGATGGTCAGACGGCATCAAGGAGAAATAGGTCATGTTGGGCCAAGTTTGCAGCTTGACCCTATACATATATATATATATATAGGACCAGCCGATGATTGCATAGATGTTCGCGACTAATTACAAGATGTATAAGACTACATTGATTGAGTTGTAACAAATTAGGCGTCACACCTGTGCCAAAGAAAATATGCACTTGATTTACTCTAAGGACACAAGATTTCTGGCCGCCAGAGAAATCACCGTGTACTCCTAGACTAGGGCCCCGTTTGGATGAGAGATTCATTAAAAAATCCTGGAAATGTGAATGTAGGATTAGGGTTCAATCCCACATTTGGCGTTGGATCAGGGTTTTGAAGGAGATAAACAAAATTACAAGTTTGGCCTTCTACATCTCCTTCCTCCTCCATTGGTCTGCAACTTCCGAGCCCATTCAAACCCCTAACTCTCCGCCGTCGAGAAATCACCTCTGTTTGCTTGGACGGAGACGAGAGGAAGGTGGACCCGTCGTTGACCATATTTGGCATTGTCGCTTCTTTCCTCTGTCCTCCTATTTGCCCCATCTAGGCTCCGACAGAAGGAAAAGGATGGGATGGCAATCCGTCAAACTCAAGCGACCAAACCTCACCCAATCCCATTTGGGTTCGGGGATGACTAGCAGTCGTCTGAGCTGCGCTGGGTCCATGAGCTCCACTAACCCGAAGATCGATAGTCGCCTGCGCAGAATCGACAACCGGTCGCGCGTTGTTGTCGTCACCCTTCAGAGGAAGAAGAGATCGAATATGGGATGAACTTGAGCTTCGGAGTTCGGAGTCGTGCCCATCGCTGTCGTCAATCTTCGCCGGAGTAGAGGGAGAAGAAGATGAAGCAGTTGGGGTCGAGGGACAGGAGAAAGGGTCGAGGGATGAGGGTTGGTGGTTAAGGGTATGTTTGGATTTTTTTTTTTTATATATAATTAAAAGGGACAAAATTGAAAGAAAAAAAATCAACTCATGAGTGATTTCGAAATAGCTAATGGGGATCGGCTATTTCAAAAATCTTCAATTGCATGTTTAAAATCACTGATTTTGAAAGCTCTCATTTTCCAAATGAGTTATTTGGTGAAAATCCGAATCAACGAGGGAATTGTGCTGAAATCTCTCATTGAAAATCCTCATCCAAATGAGACCTAGGTGTTCATCTCCACAAATGATGGTCAGCTTTTAATCCCGAGGCACACAGCAACTATATCCTACAAGGACAATTCTGTGCAGATTCCAGTAACTCTAGGGATCCTTTGGATGGATTGATTGTCAATGTGGTATTTGTATAGTCAAATAACTCATTAATTGTTCATGTGGTATTTCTGTGTTATTTCATTGATAATTGTATTAAAGTATCTCGTTTGGTAGAACCATTCACATGTGGTATTTGACAAAAACATAAAGGTAAAACGAGTTATTTCGAAATAACTCACTACCCAAATAACTTATTTCAATAATATGCTGCCAAACGAGTTCTTTACGTCCAAATAACTCATTCAAATACTTTATTCAAACAACCCCTCAATTATTGTGCCTACACTTGCTACACAATGAACCAACGTATTTGGTTAGCCCTAGCTAATTGGGAAACCCCTCCAAAACTATTCAAACCACAAGCAACTTACCCTGGACCACTTTTTTGGCTGGTGAAATTTATTTATTTATTTATTGAACACCATATTTAAATGTGAACAGTGTTGACGTACGGAAGTTACGCTGGGTTGGTACTTGGGAGCATAGGACGACGGCCCAGCAGCTTCGAGGTACTTGGGAGCTCAGCTAACACCTCTAAAGTTATAAAAATCAATTAACTCTGGCGTTTAGGAAGCCCAAAACGCGATTAGCTATGTACAATTGTACAATTGAGATGCTTAATCCATGACACGTACGTAGTAGTAGTATACAAGCATTATCAATTTCGAAGGGTGTGGCCGCACTCGCAACAGATTCACACGGCCATCGTGTTTCACAAACCTAGGAAATTACAGCAATTACTAGGGGCTAGGGCTTAATTAATTTTTCTAGTTGGGAAGGTAAATTAATGATACATCATTAACGGACAAACCAATTAGTTTTTATAAATCGAATTGTTGAGAAATAATTTGTGAAGTACTCTTAGTCTCTTACATGCCCCTCAAGGCCTCGGACGAATTACTACAATTTTATTTTATTTTTGAGTTTTTCAGTTTGCACACGTTGAACATATCATCCCTTGTGTCGTTAAATCATTAGACTTTCAGTTTGCACAGGTTGGTCATATCATCCATTTTACTAAACCGTTGTTTATATTGGTGATTGTCATAAGGAGTCCAAAACCATGACATCTCCGTCAAAAGCTCTATTAATACCATGTTAACCAACAAATCACTTGTTCCAAATAACTCGAGTTGTCGGGAAAGGGTTTGTTAATGTTTTAACTCTTACATACATATTAATTATTGTTGGAACTCTCTTAGCCGTTTCCAATTATTGCAATGAATGGGTTGTTTTAACAAAATATCATATTCTTTGGCCGAGAAGTGAAGTGTTGGATTTCTTACAACTCGCAATATTAATGGTTGGTTGAAGTATAAAGTATGATGAGATGTGAAAACTTTGAGCCAGTGAATTAGGTTTCATTTGAAATGAATGTGTAATGAAATTATACGAGATTCGTAGTTGATTATCGGCTGTATTGAGACTAATTGATTGTTGGATAGTGGTGGGTTGATTGTCATTTTAAGGGTGTAGAAGAATTTTAGGTTTATTGATTAAGCTTTAGTTAATACATGGATTTTACTCCAATCTACGTGGTCCCCCCTGCGGCTGAACCAGTGGCGGAGCCACTTGGAGAGGAGGGGTGCTTTGCACCCCCCTTGGCTTTGGAGAATTTTTTTCGAGTAGGGGTATATACAAATTCCAACCAATGACCATTCAATTGCAGAAAGAATTTCTTATCATTTCGATCGAGTGAGTTTTGTTATGTAATGCACTTTCGTCTTTATTTATAGTAATAAATTGTTGTCTTTTGTTTAAACTCGCTCTTTTTTTTTTGTAGCTCTACAACAGAGAAATTTCTTGTCTTTTGTTTAAACAAAGTTGAAAGTGAAGAAGTATCAATTGAAGTTCACTTGTTTGTTTCACAAAATCAATTCCAAGGTACTTATGAGTTCTAATTTGTAATATTTGATGAATGAAAGTCTTGATTTGTATGTACTGAACTTATTTGTTTGACGTTGTAACCGGTGTACGTGAAACTATTTTGATGTAATTGTGTGAATTTAGAGTATTGCGTTGTTGACTTTTTGTTTAATTTAAAGTTGACTTTTCTATTGTATAGGTGATTTTTTATGATATGATAAAGACACCCCCTTGGCCAATTTCCTGGCTCCGCCACTGGGCTGAACCTCCCTTGTGCTTTCGGTTTATTAAATTTTGGGCTGTGATTCGATCACCGAAAACAATTACTAACGGGTTTTGGCAATTAGATCGATAAAACCGATCGACGGTATGAAATTATTTAATAATTAAGTAATGTAACCTTCATTTGTTGGTTTGCTCTCCCTCAAGTGACTGAGATCTGTACTCGCCAAACATGGTTATTGACATATAAGAATAAAATTAAGTAGGATAAGAAAAAGGTTAGATGAAATTCACTATTTGCCAGATATCTCAAAGCACGTACATGGAGAGGTATAAAAGCCGCACGAAATGCCCTACTTACATTTGCTTAATCCGTGGGTGTGTAATCGTCCGGTTTGATTCGAGTTGGACCAAATTCAAGAGAGTTGCAGTCCAATAGTGAAATATATTTTACGATCAACAGTGTATACGATTTAGTCCATATGTCAATTCGACCATTTTCTGTATTTATGAAATTTATAAGACCAAAAACTATACCATATTATATTTCGTATAATCCGATTCAAGTATCGGTTTGTTCCGACATCAGCCGGTACGTACCTAATCGTTGCACACCATAGCTTAATCTAATTAGAAGGAAGCTCAAAGTAACTAAACTTAACTCCACTAACTACATTAAATAACCCATAGGAGTTGTAATCGTAAGTACCAATAATGGACAAAGAAATTATGCAGTAACTAGGACGACATTGTGGTGGTGACTGATTGCAACGACGTTGTAGGAGGCTCCTTCAACCAACCACGTTGTCCATTAAATACTAGGTGGCAAATTATAAATTATAAATCGTATCATAATCGCAAATTACATCAATTTCTCTACCAAGTTGGTTTATAAAGTAATGAAAATTTTGATACGAATACTACACGGATCTGCATGAGACAAAGTGGAAAATGTTTAAATTAAGACTTGAGAAACATAACTTATGATAAATATTAATCAATTTTTTTAATGACTAGTTGGAAAATTGATTTTTTGCAAATTAACCCACGGTCCAACCGAACTCATCTACCACCTAACCAACACAAAAAAATAAAAATACAAGTAAATAATAAGTCACAATTATAGCCATTCACAAATAAATAGATAGATCAATTGAAGTAAAAAAGCCCACTCAACCCATCCTACTACATGCATGCTAATGCTATATATGTATATATTCTCTGCTGGGCTCATGATCATCATCATGAGACCGACACGTAGCTAGCAATCAACAAAATTAAAAAGGCCTGGGAAAACGTGAATATGATGATTAACACAATAGATAGAGCTACTTAATCAGCCTCATTAGTACGCAAATCTCCATCCAAATCAACACTCCTTTCCCCTTTCCACTTTGTTAATGAACATTACCCAGCTGTATTTCTCTCTTCTTTAGACGTTTAGTAAACTAACTAACTACCTAATACCGTATTTCTCTTCGTTTTTCACAGATCAGATTATAATTATATATAAATTGCTGCTGTATCTCTGCTAATATAACTGGCAGTACAACTGCGAAATGAGTGATGATGATCAGCAGATGCTGCTCGCACTAATTACGGCCACCCCCGCCTTTTGCTTCCCTTAATTAATCATTAGGTAGACATATAGTTGCGTATATCCATTGCTAATACAAACTTTGATCACATGTCGTGGAAGTTGTTCACAATTAATTTTTTTTTTCATGATAGCTTCTTTAAATAGAGACGGCACGCACATTACTCACCGTATTCTTTATCATCGACACAAACAAACCGACTTCTTTAATTGCGTTGTACACATACGCACATAATTCTAATCAGTTGTCGAATCGTTGAAATCGACGAATGTTGTTTCGACGTTTCGATGTTTTCGCAACAAAATATCCAAGTGACTTGATTTGATCTTTGACAAGTGAATGAGTTGTCATTTGTCCCAATTCCCAATTCTCGTGAACCCACCACCCCCTTAATTACATGATTAGATAGGCGTTTTCGTCATAATTAGCATAGCCAATTTGCAAAAACGTAATTAACTTATGGACCCAGCCATTTTTGGGCGAACCCGGAGATTGAAAAAGACCCACGAGCCAGACCCATCTTTCACGTTCCATGCACGTGACTCCTCGTTCGCCCAATCTCCTCCTCAGCCTTTCTTTCCCTAATCTAACCAATTGAATTGAAACCCTAAATTATTAATTTATTATCACTTCCTTTTCTTCCGAAAGAGACTTTCCAACTTCCTCTTCCTCCCTCCGTCCCCATCCCATGTGCTTCCCTCTGCGCCCCCACTTCCGACCCCACACCGCCACCGTTAGCGGCGGCGCTTGCTCCCCACTCTCCCCCAATCCCAGCGCGTGAGAAGGTCAACCGACTTTCCTTCCCCTTTTCAAAAAACGAGATCCCTCTCCCCACACACAATTATTATGCATATATGAACCAATCCGCATCCAATTCTCTCCCCCAACCAAACAGTAAGCAGCCAGCCATGGGGAAGAGGAGAGAGAAGCTCGATTCCAGATCCTCCCAAACCCTCCCGCCGTCGCCGTCCCACTCCTTTTCTTCCTCCTCCTCCTCCGATTTCGAGTTCACAATATCCCTCTCCCCTCGCAAATCCTCCCCGGCAATCTGCCCCGCCGACGAGCTCTTCTACAAAGGCCAGCTCCTCCCGCTCCACCTCTCCCCCCGGATCTCCATGGTCCGCACCCTCCTCCTCGCCTCCTCCTCCACCTCCTCCTCCTCCGACGCCACCGCCTCCCGCGACTCCACCGGCAGCACCTCCTCCTCCACCTCCTCCTCCTCCGCCGCCTCCTCCGACCTCCTCCTCCTCGCCGTCGGCGACTCCCTCTGCGACTCCTCCCGCCCCAGCTCCGCCGCCGCCGCAGACGAACTCGCCGACGAGCTCAAGCGCCTCACCGGCGGCGCCGCAAAAAAGAACGGCAAGTACTTCTCCCTCTCCAGATTCTCCTCCGTCTTCAAAAAGGACAGCTCCAAATCCGCCGCCGCCGCCGCCGGAGAAAACAGCATCAACGTCGCCGGATCGTCGGTGAGGCGAATGAGCACGACGGCGAAGGACGTCATCAGGAAGTACTTGAAGAAAGTTAAACCACTCTACGAGAAGCTCTCTCACAAGCAGCAGCAGCAGAAAATGGGGCTTTACCCGAACGGCGTCGCTTTCGCCTCGGGAGACGTGAGATCCGGTAAGGGAAATGTCGTTTCTGACCCTGCGGCGGAGGAAAAGGTGATTCACAGGAGCAGCAGCGGGACGGTGGAAGGTAGTAGCAGCAATAGCAATAAAACGGCGCCGGTTAGAGGGTTTTCCCACTCTTTCTCCGGGAACTTGAGGTACCCGAGGAAGCGGAGCAGCATCGCGTCCAGCTGTCCGTCGTCGATGCGGTCGTCGCCGAGTCACTCGGGCGTCCTGTCCCGGAGCGGGTTCGCGAGCGGGTCGGGTACTAATAACAACAACAACAACAATAATAATAATACCCGACCCGGTGGAGCGGGTTCCGGTGGTAGCTACGGTGACGCTTCGTCGATGGAGGAGCTGCAGAGCGCGATTCAAGGTGCGATTGCGCATTGCAAGAATTCGATGATGATGCCGCCGCCGCCGCCGCAAAGGAAAGGGAAAGGGATCTTGATCAGCAACGAAGTCTAGCTTAGTAGAGTCGGTGCAGCATTGGGTTCGGGTTCCGATCGGGTCAGGCAGTATGAATTATTGTTTTATGTTTTATGTTAAGTAATTAACGATTAATTAATTAATCCTGATCTAGTGTTAATTAATGTTAGTAGAAGTGGGGGGAAATTTTTTGGGTTTGATGAGGGAAGCGTCGAGGGAAGGTGGAAACGGTAAGTGTTGCGTTGCATGTGAGGATCTGATGCTGTTGTTGTAAGAAACTTTTTAGTACGTTGGACGGAGGGGAAACATTTAATGTAGTTTTCTTGGGACTTGGCCGGAGGGCGAGGGGACGTGATGAAAAAAGTTAAATAATAATTATTAGATTAATACGATAGATCGTAATTAATTAACACTAGATCATGAGCATTTTGTAGGGTTTGTGTTGTTTGTATTCTTAACTCTGGGTTATTTTTGTCCGTTTGCTCCAACTTGTGTCTGTATTTGAATCTTTGCTGTTCTTTTCCCGTTGATCTGTATGTGGGTTTAAACAATAGTAGATTTGGTCCTAGTGGATGGGTGAATCGATCGTAAAGAAAACAGTAATTAACATTTAACTACATCACTCATCAGAAGTGAGTTACTTTGTAGTTTATGAATCAGTAAAATTTATACGATAATGCATGATGGTATGAGCAATCCGCTTCTATTCTAACTACGGGTCGGGTCTCAACTCAATCCGCTTCATTCTAATGCAAGTTGAATTTTACCTGCCGATTACAAATTAAGTCGGAAAATATTTATTCGGAGCGGAGATGAATTACCAATATTCCTACTTAAAGTTATCAAATATTATATGCGCAAGTGATGGGAGGGTTTGCTAATTTGGTATATGATGCGATGTTAATATCATGACTCATGGGTTGGTGGTGGGGGAAAGGATGGAGCATATGCATGTGCATGAGAGTAAATGAAGCTATCTCCCAATCCCATCCTCCTTCGGAATCTCTAATGAATGAATAAATATAATAATAATTAAGATGATAATATTATATTTAATACTAAGTATATTTATTATTGGAGGGGACACGAAGTAAAGCTATACTTTTTTTTTTTTGCATTATAGGGAGGCTAAAAGCCAAGAAAAAGAAAATTACATGGAGGTGGGAAGAGGGGAAGAAGAAGTAGCAACCACCCTACGGGTACTGGTAATGCCCATCATGTCGTCTCTGATCAGCGAGTTAATTCCTGGAGGCGGGCTCGTTAACTCATGCATACCGTAGGGATAGACGAGACTGTGCTTCGAGAGCCAGTCCGCGACTCTATTCCCTTCCCGGTAAGTATGCGTTAGGCGAACCAGCCAGTCACGATTGAGCTTCCTGCGAATGGCGGAGAGGAGAGTAGCATACGGGTGAATCGGGTCATGTCTAGCCTCAATGAGCTGCAGCGCCAGCTGTGAGTCCGTCTGAATCTGAATAGCTCTTCCTCCGTGCTTCCAAGCGATATCAAGTCCGAAGGATATCCCCCAAAGCTCCGAGAGAATGGCCGTAGCAGTGCCGAGGTTGGCGACAAAGCCTGCAACCCAGTGTCCCATCTGGTCTCTTAAAACACCCCCAGCCCCTGCTGGCCCAGGATTGCCGTTGGAGGCTCCATCAGTATTCAGCATGATCCATCCCTCTGTCGGTGGCTTCCAACCCACCTCCTTCTCTACTCTGTCAGCTGGTCGATTCCCTTTGCAGGGAAGGAGGGGAGGGGCGAGCCAAGCATTGTGCCACATCTTTGTCTTTGCCAAAATCGAGTGCTCCAGAGAGGGCGGGGTGAGAGCGGCTCCAGAACCCTGCATACAGAGAACACAACGGTTTTTCCAAATAAGCCAGAGCGCCGTACTAAAGAAAGCAGGCCAAGTCATCCCTGTCGCCACCGTATCCGTCCTCAGGAGATTGCTACTCAGCCAATCTCCCTGATCGAGAGTGAAGAAATCCTGCTGATGCAAGCCCGCGGTCTGCCGGAGCCAGAAGAAGGTAGCTGGGGGACAATCTCTGAGAGTGTGCAGAATCGTCTCTGGTGACCCCGGGCACCTCGGACAGCAAGGGCTCGCCGCTACTTTCCTGTGAAAACGCAGACTGTTAGTGGCAATTTTCCCGGTGCACGTTTGCCACATGAAGACTCGGACCCTCTCCGGCACTGGAAGGCGCCAGATCGTCCTCCACAGCTTCTCGTCCGGGTCTTGCGGCTGCGGAGTGATGAGGTTGAAGGCCGACTTGGTTGAGAATTTCCCGTCTGGGGAGGCAGTCCAGAAGAGAGTATCCTCCTCACTGGAAAGAGTGTCAACCGCCACACTGAGAATCTTCTGGCAAATCTCGGTTGGCAGAAGGGCCTCAAACATGTCGGTGCGCCACGTTCCATCAGCTGTCACATAATCAGCCACTGTCATTTGCTCCACATCCTCAGCTATATGCATAGTGGCCACCTCCTTCAGGCTCCCCTGCAAAACCCAAGGATCCAACCAAAACTTAGTGCGCTTACCATTCTTAATGTTCCAAGCACACCCCTGCTTTAACACATCAACAGCTTTAGAAAAACTTTTCCAGGTAAAGGAACTTCCCTGAGAATTGCCAAGAATATCAAGGTTCTCCCTCTGACGCCCATACTTGGCGTGCATGATCTGAGACCAGAGAGTCTCCTTCTCTTTGATGAGCCGCCATCCCCCTTTAGCCAACATGGCCAGGTTGGCCTGTCTGGTAGGGCGGATGCCCACACCGCCATGCTTCTTTGGCACTGTCATTTTATCCCAAGCCACCAGGTGCATCTTGTTCTTATTCTCCTCCTCCGCCCAGACAAAATCCCTGTTCATCTTATCGATACTGTGACACACCCCACTCGGAATCAGCTCAGAATTCATGTAATACACAGGTATAGAAGCGGAAACCGAATTAACCACTGTGATCCTCGCAGCAAAAGAGAGACGTCTAGCTTTCCAGGGCGCCAACTTCTTCTGGATGCGAAGGAGAAGGGGTTGGTATCTCTCCCTAGTCACACGCCCATGAATCGCCGGAATGCCCAAGTACTTGCCAAGCGCCATCTTCAGTGGGATATCAGCTAACTGGCTCATGTGGTTAGCTCTTCGGCGGCTGATGTTTGGGGAGACATAGAGGATGGACTTGTGATAGTTCACCCTCTGGCCAGAACTGTAGCAGAAGTCATCCAGAATCCGCTTGATGACCCTGATCTGACGAGTCTCAGCCTGCGCAAACAACAACAGATCATCTGCAAAGAAAAGGTGAGTGAGAGGCGGGCCATCCTTGGACAGCCTAAGAGCTTTCCACTGACCATTAGAAACAGCTTCATCAATCAAATGGGAGAGGCGCTCCATGCAAAGAACAAAAAGGTAAGGGGATAAGGGGTCTCCCTGGCGAACTCCTCTAGTCGGGGTGAGAGGCTGGGAGAGCTGCCCATTCCACAGTATCTGCATCCTGTTTTGAGTAACACAGTGCATGATACCACTGATCCACGTGCTTGGGAGCCCGACCTCCTTCAGAGTGTCCCGAAGAAAGTCCCACCTTAACCTGTCGTACGCCTTTTCCAGATCGATCTTGAGGATGATACCTCCCCTCTTTCCTTTCTTCTTGTGGAGTGAGTGGAGCGCCTCCTGGACCACGATAATGTTATCCGTTGTCTGCCGGCCCGGAATAAAGCTGCTCTGGCGAGGGGAGATCAGACTCCTCATAATCGGCTTGAGTCTGCTAGTCATAGCCTTGGTGATCGCCTTCAGGCTGACGTTGTTGAGGGAGATCGGTCTGAGCTGGCTCACCACTTCAGGTCTTTCCACCTTGGGGATGAGCACAAGAGTCGACTCAGTGACCGCCTCGGGCAGAGTACCTGTCTCAAAAAACTTCATAGCCATGTCAATAAGGTTCCGCCCAACAGTCCTCCACATTTGCTGGTAAAAACAGGCCTGGAATCCGTCGGGGCCCGGAGCCTGAAATGGCTTCATGTCAAAGATGGCTCTATGAATATCCATGCCGGTGAAGGGCCGCAAGAGCTCAAGCAACTCAGTCTGGCTGAGACGGGGAAAAGCACCTTTGGGCATCTTGTCTTCATAATTATCCTCTTCCTGCATAGAAAGATCAGCAAAAAAAACAAAAACAAGAGAGGCCAGGGCTTGAGAGTCAGTCACCCAATTGCCTTGAGCATCCTGAAGAGCCTCAATCTTATTGCGACGCCTCCTGATGTTTACTTGCTGATGGAAGTAGCCCGTATTCCGCTCCCCGAACTGGACCCACTTCTCCCTGGAGCGTTGAAACCAGAGGAGCTCCTCTTGTTCCATGACTTGATCAAGTTCAGCCTCCAACTTGGAGTGCAGCTTAGCTAGCCCAGGGGAGAAGCAAACAGCTAAACGAGTCTCGATCCCTTTGATTCTGGCCAGAAGCCGCCTCTTCCGTTGCTGAACATTGCCAAAGACATTCTTATTCCACTCCTGGAGTTTCTCTGCCAATAAAGGTAACACAGTCTGTAAAGGTGTCTCCGGCTCCCAAGAGTTAGCAACAAAATCAAACAAATCGGAGTGGGTCAGCCAAGCTGCCTCAAACTTAAAAGGACGAGACAAAGTTGAGGGACTTCCCTGATTTGAGACAGTAGTTAAGATCGGATTATGATCCGACTGAAGCCTCGGGAGGTGGGTGACCGTCGTGTTGGGGAAACAGGAATTCCACCGGATGTTGCAGAAGCTTCTGTCCAGTCTGCTGGCCTTATAGGTTCTGTCCTCCTCACCCCTAGTCCAGGTAAAGGCAGGCCCAGAGAATCCTAGGTCGATGAGCTCAGCAGTATTGATCCGGTCATTAAAGATCCTGCATCTGCGAGTTGTGCTTGCTGTGGAAGGGCCTGTTTTCTCGTTCAGGGTACGAATGGCATTAAAATCCCCCGTGAGGATCCAGGGAATGTTAATCCATTTGCTTTGGTTGATCAAGTTGTCCCATAGACTCTGCTGCTGGCTGTACTGGGGAGACGCATAGACGGCAGTCAGGATCCATGGCGGGCCGCTACCTCGAGAGACATGAAGCGAAATGTGCTGATGGCAGGCGGAGAGCAACTGAACCGAGAAGGCCCCTGCATCCCAGAATATCCAAATTCCCCCCCTCCGACCATCCGCATCCACTCTGATCGAGTTAGGATATCCAAGCCTGTCGCACACGGAATCCGCAGCTCTTCCGCTAACTTGGGGCTCAAGAAGAACAACAAAGTCTGGCCGCTGAACCTGCAGAGTCAACTTCAGGGCACGAAGGAACGATTTGCTACCTGCTCCACCAACATTCCAAGAGAAGACTTTCAAATTAAAATTAGAAATGGAAGACATTGATAAAGGCATAAAACAGAAGGAAAGAACAGAGGAAGGAGGGGAGGTCTAGTGGCTGCTGTCCGCCAATTCCGTCATCACGTCCTGGCGGTTTGAGGGAGAAGTCTCGCTGCTCCGAGCCACTGGGTTCCCATCGCCGAGCTCCCTGGCTCTCTGATTCTTTGCTTCCGTCCATGCCGATATCTCCTGAAGAGTTAGGGAAGCCATTCTGCTTTTGGATTTTGGCTTCCTGTCTTTAATTGGTGACCAGACTTGAAGAGGCTTCCTTGATTTGAGCTTCGCAGCGGGAGATTTGGCCTGTCTATCCTTGCCCAGTTTGGTCTTCTTGGTTCGCGATCTCGCCGATGGGGATTGAGTCTCCGCTTCGTCTTTGGAGGAAGGAGCTCTCGGCTGTATCTCAATTATTTGCAGGGAAGTACCATTTGGGCCATGCTTCTCGTGGACTAAAGGAGTGTGGGAGATTGGAAATGGGATCAGACTTGGGGAAGAGGGGCCCGTGTCCTTCTTGGAGCAATCAGCTTTGGGCTCGTCCCGGCCCACAGTAACTCCATTGCGGCTTGAAGACATGTCCGAAGGGCCTCCAGAAACTGAGGAAGGCCCTGCTCCATTTCTGTTTTTGTTCACGGGCCCAGGCCCAAGGAGGCCCGCCTCCAACCTAGGCTCAGAGCCCACTTTTTCTTTCCCCTTGCGAGAATCTCCACTGGCCCTAACTCCGCTCCTTCCTTTCTTGTCCTGGCCGCCGCTCTTGGTGTTCCGGGAAGAGATAATGGTGTCGTTGAGAGGTAGGTTTTCATCACCCTTGATCCCCGCTATTTCTTTCCCTGTTTTCCCTATATGGACGTTGGACGGGATCTCCGCCTTTCCTTTCACGGTGAGGTCGCGGGAATTACGCCGACTCTTCCGCGTCACCAACATCCAAGGGCCGAATCCCGGCTGTTCCTCCGTCGTCGCCGCCGGGGAGGCCTGCACCGCTTTCACCGGAGACGTCGTAGGATGAAGGAGGGGGCAAGCGGAGGAGACATGTCCGATTCTACCACACTCGAAGCAGGCCGCCGGTATGTTTTCGTACTCCACCGCCTGCCATTCGTCGTCGAGCCAGATCCTTGGAACCAGAGGTTTGCTCAGGTCCACCTCCACGGCCAGTCTTGCGAATTTAGCCCTCTGCTGGGTTAGGGTATGATAGTCAAGCTTTATCGTTCGCCCGATCAAGTTCCCCAGCATGTGCAGGATTTCTTTGTGGTAGAGGTGGACTTTGAGTGCCGGTAGCTGCACCCATACGATCATCTTCTTCGTTTGGGGATCCGAAACCTTGAAATTGGGTGTCCATTGATGCACCACCAAATAGTGGTCATAGATGACCCAGGGGCCGTCTGTTAACGCGCGGAAATAGTCTTGCTCATTCGAAAGTTTCACCAGGAAACAATCATGGTCGAGGTCCATGGCTTCCAACGATCCAACTGGTCTCCAGAGCGACCGGAGGCGGGAACAGAGGGCGGCGAAGCCGATTTTGCATCCGAGGAGTTTCACGACGAGAGTGCGTTGCCATGGCTCGCATATCTTGTTCTTGAAAGACGCCGAGATTCTCAATGCCGGTTCCCCATTCCGTTCGCCCGGGATGAGGTCGTGTTCCCCGACAGGGGTCCACAGACTGGTAGTAGTTCTCTGAGCAGTCGCGTTGGAATGGCCCGCCACCGCACTAGCGTACGAGACCAGCGGTTGCGACACCACCGGTGAAGGGGGAACCTCAACTGCCATGTCCGTCGTTGGAGCAATTGTTCCGTTATTTGTCTGATCCGTGGAATCCGTCGAAGGGATGGCGATCGTGATTGCAGAGTCCGGAGGCCGTCCCGATGGAACAAGGGCCGGCGCCGGAAGAAAGCTGTCAGCTAGAGAGGTCGAGAGCATATTCAGTTCCATTACGCAAAGGCTCAAGTAAAGCTATACTTGCTATATATATATCTGTAATGTAATGAAGACATAATTGCAATTATATATACAGAAATAAAATAGTGTAGGGATATCAAGCTTTTGAATACCAACAATAATACCTCTTGATATTTTTAGAATGTGGCTTCCTGCCTCAATGATTGACGACACCGGCTATTTAGTATTTGGACAAGGAAGTGAATTCCAATCAACGGAGATGGTCGATATCGTGTTCATGTCGGGGGGAAAAAGGAACTGTTATTAGATCGAAAAACCACCACAAGCGGATTGCAGAATTTTGTTAATTGTACATCAGCTCACTAACATGGCTCAAACAGAGAAGTGATTGGAATGGGTTAAAGTTACTAATTATATTGCATTTCTGCTTTCAACAATAATAGAAACCTATGCATGTATTCAGCCATTGAGATCGATCGCGAAGATGAACATTCAATAGACATATGATGACACAACATATATCCAACTTTCGATAATTGTTATTATTAATTATCGAGGAAGATAATTAGTATATATTATCAGTAGTTAGCAGAGTGCAGAGCTTATATTCCAATTATATGATGCAGTCAACATAAATCGGTCAAGGTTTAGTTAATGGTTAATTAGTACGTTCCTCCATTACGTTGCATGACTTATATAAGCAATTGTGTTTTTTTTTTTAATAATATGAAAAAAAGAAGTCATCGAAAGGGGTTTGTTGGAGAAATGCATGAGATCAATGGATAATTCAAGGAATATTATTATGTTGTGACCAAGAAAAAACAACTAATCATGCATTCTACAGAAGAAACAAGGCAGTTATATTGTTATATTACATGACAATTGACAGTTATATATATATTGTCATCGAAAGTGGAAGAATTCAACTTATGATCTGCTAGTTTCATTAAAAAAAAGAGTTTTTTTACGTTATTATTATAGTGAGGCCAGGCTTTTAGTATGCTATTTGCTATTTGCCGCCAACCAAATTGCTATTTGCCGCCAACCAAAAAAAAAAAAAGTATATATATACATCTTTGGGTAAGGAGTTTCACAATCTACAACATATCCAACTTTCAGAGAACGTATTGAATCAGAAAAATTCAACGCTTGCCGGAAAAGTCACCGGAAAATCATCGGGAAAGCCTATCCTCGACATATACTGCTTACACGCATCAATGAATCATCACTAAGCAGGTGCGTAATTTTTTTGTAGTTTCGAACAATTTTTCCGACGATTTGAAACGAACAGACGGTGGGCCAAAAATTTCCGGCGGCCGGAATTTTTCGGCCCACCGTCTGTTTTTGCAATTTTTCGGAAAAATTCGATTTTAGGAGTTGAATTTAGAGTTTAGGAGTTGAATTTAGCGTTTAAGAGTTGAATTTAGCGTGTAAGAATTGAATTTAGAGTTTAGGAGTTGAATTTAGCGGTTAAGACTTGAAATTAGCGTTTAGGTTCACAGGAATATTGATGTATTATATTGTAATTGTAGGAAAAATGTCAGAGTTGTTACCGGCTGATCGTGATTACACACAAGAATTTGAGAATGGGATCCATTATGCAAGTGTGGAGTTAGCTGAGTTAGCTGCAAGAACAATCGCTCAGCAGTGTGGGTTCTTTATTGTTAGAGGAGCATGGAAACCGAATACTGCTGGACTACATCCTGTTACTGCCCTCTGTATGTATTGCGACAGAAGTAGTAGGATCGTTAAGTCTTATAAACCAGACCCTATGAAGGAGACGCGTGGGAATATTAGTTCGAAGGGTACTGGTTGCCAGTTTCAGATATGTTTAAAGGAAGTATGGCAAAAGGATGGTCCAAACACATGGGTCATAGTGGGAGTGACAAGTCGTGAAACTGGAGCTAATAGAGGGTTTCACAACCATGAAAAGGTGTTGTATCCAGAACATCACCGACACAACAAACAGTTTAGTGAGGCTGAAAAAGAGAGGTTAAGATTAATGAGGAAGGCGGGGGTGAGACCAAATCAGCAGAAGACGACACTCAATACTGAAGGGGGTGTGCATCATGATATCAAACAGATGTACAACATAAATTCCAAGACAAGATTGGATGAGATGGGTGAAATGGATGCGATACAGTTTGCTCTTCACGGAGCTGAACATCGTGGGTACCATATCTGTTTGCAAAAGGACTCTAATAATGTGCTCACTAATCTGTTTTTTGCGCACCCGACGTCCATTCAGATGTTGCATGCATGGCCGTACGTCATCCTCATTGACTCGACCTACAAGACCAACAGGTACAGCTGGCCATGGGTTGAGATTATTGGGGTTACTCCAGTGAAGAAGAATTTCAACATTGCATGTGCAATTATTAAGCAGGAAACAAAGGAAACATATGAGTGGCTGCTGCGATGTATTAAAGGGTTTCTCGGTGATACGGTTCCGAATGTCATTGTGACAGACAAAGAAGGTGGTTTGCTTGCTTCTATTCCTGTGGTCTTCCCTCTCCCACATACTGTCCACCTACTATGTTTATGGCACGTCAACAACTGTGTGAAGCAAAAGTTTGAAGTGTTACTTGGTGGAATTGCAAAAAGAGAGGTAGCACAAGCGGTATGGAAGAAATATTTCGACAAAGCTGCATGGAGTTGGACTCAGGAGGGTTTTCTTCAAAAGATTAATGAGTTTGAGAGGGTCTGGACAGTGAAGAACATAAAAATGGTCGACTACGTGCGAGGTGAGTGGTTGCCTCATCAGACAATGTGGGCAAAGTGCTACACGAACCATGTGTTTCATCTTGGTAACACGAGCTCGAATAGAGTTGAGTCATCTCACTCTTCATTCAAGACTTTCCTTGTGTCTGGTAGAGGAGCGATCGACACTTGTTTTGCGAAGAACCACAACTACATGGAACATCAATTTCTGGAAGTGGTGAATGAACTGCACAACTCACTAAACCGCAATCTGAGTAAGGAAATTGAGCCTCCGTGCACGTTTTTGAAGAGGGTCGTTAGTTCTGAGGCAATCAAACTGATGTTAGATGGGGCGGCGGAGTTGAAGGATAGTTGTGCGTGCCATTTTCAGATGACACATGGGCTCAAGTGTGCTTGCCAGATTGTTCAAGCTAAGGAAGAAGGACGTCAATTATATGCTCAAGAGTTGCATGTATTTTGGCGGACTTTGGATTATAAAAACCCCCCACGTCAACAACAAGTCAGTGATGAAATTGAGCTTCAACGAGAACACTTTAGGCGTCTTACTGTTGAGGTGGAAGAAAGAGGTCCTGAAGCAGTGAGACAAGCAAGAGATGCCCTATTCTATGGGCTTCACCCAGCAGAGGACAATGTGAGGGAACCGGAATTGAATGAGAATCCGAGAGGATGGCCTCGAACAAGCACCAGTCGCATTCGTTCATATTATGAGCGGTCTCGTTCGAGGAGTACTGGGCCTGGTTCGAGTGGAGGTAGGGGGCGATCGAGTGGAGGCAGATCCCGATCGAGTGGAGGCTGATCCCGATCGAGTGGAGGTGAATCCGACAAGCATGATACAGGTGAGTAATTGGTTTAATATCTAGTAGTAATTGGTTTATGTTTATAAATTTTTTCCATGTAATTTTGATCGTTTGGTATATCTTTGTAGATTACTCATCCCAGAGCCCCCCAGGGCAATATTCTTACCCTTACATCGATGAGGTTTTTCCAGAGTTTGTTCGACCTTTGCTGGTAGGCGATTTCAACCCTAGTCCAGACGGCCATTGTGGTTTTAGGGCACTTTCTCATTGTATTTATGGGGATGATAGTCACTATCTGCTCATGAGATCGACGATTGTCCAAGAAATCCAACAACATTTTTGGAAGTACGAGAACTTGTATAATGGTGGTCCACTAGCTCACATTGACCGCATCAATTGGCTAGAGGCGGGTTCCGCACCACCGGGGCGATGGATGGATTCTGAGGACTTGTTCGTGTTTGCCACCATCTACAACATCGCAGTCATGGTCTTCACATGCCAGGTGTTTGATGTCAATAATGGAAACCGTCCACTACCCAACCGCTATGATGATGCCTATACTGTATTGCCTATTGATGCGGAACAGGTACTTTGCCACCAACCATGTTCTTATCACTGCACTATGTGAACAACCACTACATTCGATTGTACTTCAACCAGGATCAGTTTCCTATACCCCCTCTGCATCCACTTTGGCATGGGCTAGCAAATCCTAATGTGGCGGAGTGGGGAGCTATTCTCGAGGTTGGACAAAATTTGTTTGCGAGCCTTGGTGGTCGGCAGCGAGCCAGGCAGAGAGACCCCCGAAGAGCTAGGGGAAGGGGTAGGGGTAGGAGCAATGCATAGTGTTGCAATACTCTATTTATATGTTGTTGTTTTTCTAGTTGTATTTTTAATGACCCTAGTGTCATTATGAACTTATGGATTTCATTATGGATTTCATTATGGATTTCGAGCGAGTTCGGGGTCGATTGGACGAAGATCGGGCGCGAGGCAAGTCAAAAAGAAAGCCACACGGCCACACACACAACTCACACGGCCGTGTGAATTTGCACTTTGGCCGTGTGGAGATCTGCGAGACTTCACACGGCCAGGCTGTGTGAGCTACACGGCTGTGTGAAGTTGCACTCTAGCCGTGTGGAAATGTGCGAGGCTTCACACGGCCAGGCTGGGTGAGCTACACGGCCGTGTGAAGTTGCACTCTGGCCGTGTGGAAATGTGCGAGGCTTCACACGGCCAGGCTGGGTGAGCTACACGGCCGTGTGAAGTTGCACTCTGGCCGTGTGGAATTCTGCGAGGCTTCACACGGCCAGGCTGGGTGAGCTACACGGCCGTGTGCCCCTGGCCGTGTGGTTGCACTTTTTTCATTGTTAGGTGTTGTATTTTAGCTTGTCAGAAACATGCAGTCTAAACATAACCATCCGATCCAAACATACATAAGTAGTCAAACATCCGATCTAAACACAACTATGGAAACATGCAGTCTGAACATAAACATCCGATCCAAACATACATAAGTAGTCAAACATCCGATCTAAACACAAATATGGAAACATCAAAACAACTAAAAATCCCCTGGAGGGGGGAGTCCCTGAGAAGCCCAGTACTCAGTCCACACGTCCTGCACTCCGTGCAATGCCCTGTAGGCTCGTCGAGAATGCTCAACAAACTCCTCCTCGGTCCCTGCTGTTGCTCGAACCGCAGGTGCAAACGTGTACAAAAGGTCGCGACCACGCTGCATGAAAAAAAAAGAACAATTTTTAGTTTCATGCTAAGTATACTTATTATAGAGTACCGATTTAGTGGTCAAATCTTACCGCTGCGGAGTCAACTAGTCGATCTGCCTCTCCATCATCCCGTAGGACTCTACAATGAGTGTGCGCCACGAACCAGTCAAGATAGTCTCTCGTAGTCTCATATGGATACGTCGTCCACGGCTGAGAGTACATGTCTATATGAACCATGTGGGATAGCAGAGCATCCCATGCAGCATCAAAACTCTCAGGAATCCGAATGACATATCCACCAGGTGCCACTGATCGGTCTGCTTGCTGAGGACGTGAAGGGGCAGGCGGTACCATCTGTCGGTATCCAAACTGTCGGAGGCAACGGGCTGGATCATAGAACTCGCCTATGTCAGCGAACCGGATGACTCCAGTGTACAAAGAGCGACGCACTGCCTGATGAGGCCTTTGATGGAAAGGTGTTCAAAACACATCAGAAGGGGTCAAGCTGTCAAGAGCTCGACGGTAGAACGCCAACCTCCCACTGGAATCAGCCACAGAACCAGGTGTCGGCTGCCCAACCCATCGTGAAGCCCAAGCATCATCGGGTCCAACAGCGACAGGCTCGAAGTGAGATGGCCTGAAACCCGGAAAGTACTCGTAGATCCAGCACTGCAGAAGTGTGAGACAACCAGCCATCCACCTGGCACCAGCACGAGACGCCTGACCAAGGTATCTGTACAACCAAGAAAGTGTACTTGACGCCCAACTATACTGATCTAACTCCTCCAACTCGTCCAAAAATAAGTTTACCACCGACCGAACCCTGTCTCTACTCTTGTCCACAAACAAAGTGGACCCCAACAGCAACAACAAGTACGATTGCGCCTCTGTCACATGTGTCCCGTGGCTCTGCAAGTATCTGGACGCCATCTCTGCAAGAAAACCACCCTTCTCGTACCACTTACCCCTATTATTATATCCAGGGACCTCCGAACGACCACTCAACTGCTCCGAGTTCATCCCAAGAAGCGCACACAAACCCGCCTCCGGATGGTCAAGCTGCGCAGAACTCCTACTCATCAGTCGTCCCTCAACAGGAATCTGCAGTAAGTACTGAACATCGTGGAGGAGGATCGTCATCTCTCCAAAAGGCAAGTGGAAGGTGTTCGTGTCTGGCTGCCACCTCTCCACAAAAGCTGAGATCAAAGCCTCGTCAATCGCTATCTTGCGGAACATAGAGTAGATCAGGTGCTGGAGACCTGACTGCACCACCAGATCCTCCGCCTCAACATGACTAAACACGCAGCTACTCAGATAAGAAACCGCCGATGTACGGCTGTAGCAACTGATGACCCCTCGATCTCCAGCCCCCGTCCAAAGCGCATAGGCAACGTGGCCACGAAAGCTCCTAATGAGGCTAGGATCCGTAGGTCCACCAGGACACTCACCAACAAGCTCCCACGGTGGAGGACCACTCGAACGTCCTCCCCTACTCCGTACAGTCCCCGAGCTCTCTGTCTCCTGACGAGCAGGTGGTACGAATCGCCCAGCTCGGTCCCTATACATAGCAGGACTTGATGTTGCCATACAAGACGACCCTCGTCCATGTCCACGCGTAGGTGGAGGGACCTCGATATCCTCATCATTATCGTCCTCATCAAAATCAGCCGAGACCACTCTCGATGCAGCACCCTGGTTCCTCCCATGGGAACCAGACGCCCGTGATGCCGAACGAGCAACTACAGTAGGAGCCTCTAACTCATCCTCCCCTAAATTTGCCTGTGACTGATGTCCAATATCTCGAGAGCGCTTATTCTTCTCCTTATTCTTCCTTCGTGCTGATACATCAACAACCCTACCATTGAATCTATTCAACTCATTCCCACCCGCATCACCCGCATCATCCATATCTAATTATCTACAAATTTAAACAATATCATACTTAGATGCGCACTAATTAATTAATTTTCTATTAACTAATTTACTATTAACATTAATTGTTAATTATTCACAAATTAATTAAATTTTTATTAACTAATGTACTATTAACATTAATTGTTAATTAATCAGAAATTAATTAATTTTCTATTAACTAATGTACTAAATATTAAATCAATTCTTAATTAATTAAAATTCCATTAACTAATCTAAGTAATTAAACTTTCAAACGCCTATTACAAAAAACAAACATTTATACACCAACTTAAATAAATATTAACACTAATTGCTAATTAATTATCATATTAAATTAAATACAAAAACTGGCTGGGCCGAAAGAATTTTGCGGCCGGTGCGTCGGCCGGCCGAAAAAAATTTGCGGCCGGAGCGACGTCGGGCCGAAAAAATTTTGCGGCCGGTGAGCCGTCCGGCCGAAAAATTCTTTCGGCCCGGCGACGCTCCGGCCGCAAATTTTTTTCGGCCGGCCGACGTATACGTCGCCGAAAAATTTTTGGCCGGCGTGTTCGGCGACCGGCCAAAAAAAATTTGCGGCCGAGGCGGTGCCGGGCCGAAAGAATTTTTCGGCCGGCCGTCGTACCAGCCGCAAATTTTTTTCGGCCCGACGTCGCTCCGGCCGCAATTTTTTTCGGCCCACCGTGTTTTTTGCCGGAAAACTGGAAAACTCGCGGAAAACTGGAAAACTGACCGGAATAAGTCAACTTACTTGTTTTCCGACGATTGAGGGCGACGGGAGGTTAGCCGACGACGGAAGAACGGTGCCGGCAACGGAGGCACTGGGCTCGTCAACAGAAGTTTTTGTTGGAATGAGTCAAATGTTCCTGATATCCGAATTTATAGAATGAAAGGAAGGGAAGGGAGGGAAAATTCAAAATTTGAATTCATAATTTTTTTTTTAGTTGGCGGCAAATAGCAATTTGGTTGGCGGCAAATAGCCGTTCACTTTAGTATATATATATATGGGTTAATTAGTTGGTGCTGTCGGTTCCTGACGGCTGAGAAACTACACAAAGGCAATCATGTTTAGTCAATATGAAGTTATTATTGTAGTAACTAATTAACCGGGAAAAGGGGGTCAAATTAAGATCGATACTTTCCTAATAAGTAGTTTGTGTATATATATATATCAGTCCTCTCCGTCTTTTTCAAATGTGGTTCAGTGCTCTATTCTATATTGGATCCGACGCTGATACCGTCTAATTGACAACTAGAATATGTACATTCGTCGGTTTCATGTCATGAGAAATGAAGTTGGACAAGCTCGAGATTAGTTCAATTCGTCTTCTCTTGAGCTCATGATTCAATCTCGAAGAACGATCAGGAAGTAGTACTGGAGGCCGACTACAGGATATGGATCGTTAGAGCAAGGGCCAAGCAATCTTGTGACCTAGCTATAGTGGTATTAGTTTTAGGGTTTGCAACTTTAGCATGTGTATGTTCGATATTAGTTCGTATTATCGATGGCAAGTAATTAATCCAATATATACTTCGGTATATTTGTTTGTTTGGTAATTTTGTCATTTAGTATTTATAGTCATATTTGGGACTTGAGAGTTATTATTATTGGTATTAAAACGTTCTTTCATTTGAGGATAGTATCGAACAAAGTTATCCCAACTCCGGAGAACGAAGACCCAATTACATGTGACAGGCAACAAACCAATCAACACATGCTCCCAGTGGGCGAAGGGATTCAGATCGATGCTCAAATTGAAGTGTGGTTCCGCAAGTTTATATGTTCTTTGCGGAACATATACTTGTGTCAAGAACCAGTTGATCGAAACAACTCGAGCTAGCTGTTGGGAGAGATTCAATAATAATGAATATTACACCACTCACCAACACACCCTC